TTTATTTTATGTTGTTATTTATCTTATTTTCTGACTTTTGAGAGAGTTTTGCTCTAATGTAGGCTGGCTTAGAATCCCACCAGTAGCCCAGGCTGGCTTAGAATCTGCTCAGTAGCTCAGGCTGGCCTCCAACTCTTGACATACTTCTTGCCTTTGCTTCCTAAGCTCTGAGTTTACAGGTGGGTGTGACTACACCAGGCCCAGCATGTGCTTTAATTTTAACAGAGGAACAGGCATGTGTGGAGGCTAGAGAGGAGAGGAGGGGCTGTGGTTCCTGCTCACGGGGGCTGAGGATGACTCAGAGAGATGAGAGCTGGAAACAGCTCGTCCCTGACTCTACCCAGTCTGCAGGCCTGTCCACCTTCCCTTCCCTCCACCCCATTCCCAAAGCCATTCTTCTGGCTCACTGTAACTCCCCACTTTCCCAACCAAGCCCTGTAAGCATGTGTATTAATAATAATTCCTTCAATAAACAGGACTTGAGCTTTCCCTGAATATTAGAGGAGGCACTACCCATGTGGATGCACTATGGGAAATTTTTAGGGTGTTGTTCAGAGTAACGGGGTTTTTCTTGGCTTTGGGTGGGCCTTTAAATCAGGAGGTAGGAAGATAGATGCTTGCAGTCACATAAAACTTATACAAAATAAGTGGCCTTCTGGTTCGTGTCTCACAGAGTTGATGAATGGAATTCTCGTAGCACAGAGGTGAGTTCAGAAAGAAGTATTTTATGATAGGAAGCTTCACAGACAGAAAGATGAAGAGCTCCTGCAGCAAGAGCGGGTCCCTGGGAGTGGGTACCACTGCAGGTCACTGCCTTCGATTAATAGTGCTTCACTGGGTGACCATGGATGAGCTGGCCAGTCCAGTTCCCACTCCAGGTGTCCAAGGATCTCTTAGTTCCAGTCGGTCCCCATGCTCATTTAGGGGAAGAGATGAGGAAGCACCAGAACCCTTCTTCCTCTCTTTCTGGCATCCCTGCCTCTGGCCAGGGCAGGACCAAAGACGTTCCAACTTAAATACTTCTGGCATCTCAGGCCTTGGACAGGGATGGAGTTGGCCACAGGGTCAAGGATATTTCCAGTTTTAGCTAAGGAAAAAAATCCATTCCTTTCTAGGATCCCTTACTTTGAACTGCCCAGCCAAGTTTGGTCTGCTGTTCTAATTATATGTGTCAGTTAATAGAACTCTGAAATGTCCTTATCTCCCTGAAATGGCAAGGGAGAAACAGAAAACAAACAAACAAAAATAAACCAGACAGATAATGCATGTGGTACTGTCAGGGCCTCTGGCCCCAAGCCAGCAGGAGCACATGTGTGCTTGTACATTCTAATAGGGGGGCACACTGCAGGTTTCCCCGTGTTTGGTCTTTAATGCAGCAGTTAGAAACTGAACGTGTTCCTGGTGGTCTTTAGCCAGTGGGCATGGGGCACTGACAGTGTGTAAGAAGACAAGCGCTACCCCAAAACCAAAGTAATTTATAAAAAGAGGGGGCAGGGCTGGCAAGCGGCTCAGCAAGTACAGATACTTGCCACCAAGCTTGACAACCTGAGTTTGGCCCTAGGACCCACACGTTGTCAGGAGAGAACCGACTCTTGAACATTATCCCTTGTCCTCCACAGGAGTGCTGTGGCGCACCCACACACATACGTACATGTAATAAGATAAAAAAGAGGGAACAGATGCTAGAGGTATTGGAGGGGACAATTTTTAGTCTTCAGCAAGTCTGAGAAAGCCTCATGGGAAGGTAAAAATTTGGGCAACATTGTACAGGTAGACGTTGAGAGAGCTTTTAGCAGAATCGTCAGTCGGAAAGCCTTAAGGGGAGCGAGCCATCTGGGAAGGGGCTGGGTCACCAGATTCAGACTGCAGTAGCCTGGTAGCTGGGAGGCCACAAGCCAGGCCACATGAGGCGTTGTGAGCATTAGACAGGGATTGATGGGGACGATGTGAAAAACAACGGGAAGACAGGCATCTCCAGAGGCAGAATCTTTCTGTAGTCAGGACAACTGAAGAGCCACCGTCTCTCTCTGAGGAAGGAAGTGAGACTGTGCATGTGGAGTGGAGGTGTTGGGGTTTTTATAGGATGGAAAAGGGGGGAACTTTGGGGATGGAGGATTCTACCTGCAGGTCAGTTCCCTGCACTCTGGGAGTGGTGGATACTGGTGGGTTTGGTATGTGGCTCCCCGCCCACATCAGAAGCTTCCACAGGTGTTGCCAGTCAGCTTTTCTGTCCAGCGCTACACCCACTTGAGGCTTTTAGGACATTAACTCCACAGGAAGGAAGTGTGCTCGTTCCATCAGTGGTGTGACCGCCCCAAGCACCTGGGCTGTCTCAGACACTCATTAATATTTTAAGTAAGTTAATGCACACAAGGCACTAGGCCAGCACGCAGTTTAGAATGATGCAACATTCTGAAAGATTGGGAAATTACCCTAACTACATAGAGGACGAAATGGAGCTCAAAGGTCTTTGTCTGTTTTGAAACGCTGGGTTTGGGCCAGCTTCCCAGGAGCAGGTGGAGGAAAGCACCCAGGTGTGTTTGAGCACCATTACTCGATTCCCGGCCCTTTCCTCCTGTGCACCCCAAAGAAGCAGCAAGAGGCCCTGGTCCCAGCAGAAGAGGAGTCAAGTTGTGCACCAGGCCTGCCGATTATACAGCTCTGTCCATGGAAAGGAAGAGGGTAGGCTGAGTTTGGAGCACAGTCCCCTAGCCTGTCACCACAGGCTGGGCTCCCCAGCTGGGACACCCCATGAGTTTTTGTGACTGTCCTAAGGTCTCAGGCTGCTCGGTGTTTTGCAGAATTCAGCTCAGCTGGTCTTGCTGGTGTATCAATGGCCTCCTGACACAAGGGCCCCCCAAAAGTTCTTGCAAGTTCTCCCTATACCTTTCTGAGCCCCCCACTCATCTTCTCCAGGCTGGAGCACTCCGTAACAAAACTCTACTCAATGTATGAACAGGCTTTTGCTCTGCAAGCCCCACTTTGCCTTTAAGTCTGGCTCAAATGTGGTCTCTTCCCAGAACTTCTCTTTCCCCCTTCCTCTCCAGGAGAATCCCTCATGTCTTCTCTTTAACCAAACGTTCCTTTTGCTGTCTTAGCAAGGAAAAGCCAGTAAAGAAAACAACAGGGAATGTCATAAACTCAGGCCAAGTGGAAAACATGCCCCATACATAGGCTGTCACCAGGCCTCCACTCAGACTCACTGATTTATAGAAATGGGGACTCAGTACCACTACTCCGTTATGTATAGGTGGAACCAGAAGCATGGCTTTGATTGAGAAGGGCCCTGTTTTCAGCATTGTAAACAAACTCAATTTAGAAAAAAACAAAAGTGCCACCCAGACCAAGAAAACTATGCCTAGGACCAAAGCATGGTGTGACCCTTTCATTCTATGTTACCTAGATGATGGAATTTCCTGGGGGGAGTCAAAGAGACATTACAAATTGTTACCTACTTCTCTTTGGGATCTATGTCCCTCACTGGACCCCAGAGTCTTACTCAGCAAAGTCCCATCAATTTTGGGGGGAGGAATCTGGGGGCAGGGTATGAAAGCCAGTGCCTTGCACACCATGGTTGCCTAATTGACATCTATGGGATGGATGCATAGTCTTGAAGCAAGTTCAGTTGTTTTATATGAAGATATGGGCTATTTTGAAGCTCTGATAAGGAGTACTGGGAAACTGGGCCAAAATTTTGGGTTTTCTATTTGGGGAGGTAAACTCAGGGTAGGTTAATTATTTTGTGACAATGAGTAACAATGTGCAGTCTATACACAGTAGAACATTAATACAGTGACTAAAATGAGGATCATGTGAGGCTATCATAGGTCCCGGGCCACAGGGGTAAGCAAGGACAAATGTGAGACCCAACCACAGCCAATCAGATCCATGGGTATTTTCTGCTGGGATCTTTCTAGGGCATTGGGGCAGCTAAACTGTGGAGAAGGCTTAAACAGACTGTTAGGAGTTCATCCTCACAGCCCATAAGGACAGTCCCCCTGCAGAGGATGACCATGGAAGAAGCCAGCATCCGTACAAGGACACCAAGAATCCACAACGTTTTTAGTGCCTGGATGCAGGGCACCTGGATGCACCACACCGGGATGCAGGGGGCCTGAAGCGGAGTGGCCATAAACCTCTGGCCACGGAGACCTGCCCCTCCCCTCTCCCATTTAGGCCAGTTTCAGGTGGTTCCTTCCACCTGCACTCTGGCTGTCATCATATAAACCTCTCTAAAGAGGGTGAGGGATGAAAGGCCGACAGGGGGCTATTTCTAAATATTTGTCCCAGGGAACTGGACGGTCCAGCAGAGGCCTGTCTGAATGCTGCTGCGGACTTATGGATGAACACAATGGCTTCAGAGGAGCCAGGTACAGCTCGTGTGAGCATCTGGCCTTTACAGTAGGCACAGCTTTCACAGCCAGCAGAGGAAAGTGAAGGCCAGTGGAGTGTGCTTGTGGGAGAGCGGGTAAAACTGTTTCCATTCATTTCAGCAGGGCTTCTGGTTTACAAGATCCTTATCAAGACCTGAAGTGACAGGATCTGTGATGTGACAACAACAAGGCTGAGCAGTCAGCCACCTGCTGCTCTTGGCATCTCATTTCACTCTGAAAGACCTGATTCAAGGCACACGGGTGTCCTTGTGGCTTTCACTACTGATCAACAAACAAGAGTTTCAGAAGCTGTGACTCCACTCGAGGCAGCTCAGGACTCTGCAGATATAGCCCTTGCCTGCAGCTCCCTGATCCTGTCTGAACCAGCTTCCCACGTCTCTACCCTCAGGCCTTCTCCTGGGCTCTGCAGAGGTAGCAAAAATAAGCTTCTAGTTTTGAACTACTCAAGCCCAGCTGGTACAATACCACAGTAGAGAACTGGATTAGATGGGGTGCAGGGACAGGGAGTACATGGAAAGCCCTCCTTCTAGAGCGCTTGGCAGGAAGCCCATGGTTCCGGTGTTGTACTCGTTTCTCGAAACCCCCCAGAGACCACCAAAGAGCCGGTTTCTGATGCAAGCACATAAAGGTCCTTTTATTCAGGTTCAACCTGGGTCATCGCACAGCAGATGGAAAGAAATGTGACGGTGGCCACGGCCCAGGTGTAGAGAGTTTTTATAGGGAAAGACCACAAGCCAGGAATTGGCAACTTAGGATTGGGTAGAAGGGATATGGGGCAAGGGGATTTTTTTAAAAACTATTGGTCTAGACTTTCGGTGTGAAACCACATTTGAAACCATTGGGTTAGACTTTTTGGCAGGGAACCACAACCCACTAAACAGGATTATCTGGACTGATCAGCAGGATTATCTAGGTATCTTCAAGGGCCATAAACCACAGACAGGATGTCTGCAGGAGGGTACTACTCTGTATCCACTTGAGTTGTCACGGCACATTCCTGAGGTCCTTCCTGGAACTGAGTACAGCAGGTGGTCTGAGATGTTGCCCTTTCCCTAAGGTAGAGTCTGTAAAATCAAGTCTAGGCCTTCACACCAGTTTACATTGACAATTCCAGACCACAAGTAATAAGACTGGACCTGTAGAAAGCCCAAGAAAACACTTTTGTTATTTCATCAAAATATTCCTGGGGAACAGGGACATTGTTGGGGAAGGTTATGTGTCATTATTGGCATCAAGGGAGCAAAAGAGAGAATTGGTCTGGCTCAGGGACTGCAGCTCCTACTGATAGGTATACAGGGCTGGTGGCAGTGCTGGTTACCGTGTGGAAAGGTCATGGTCATGACAGAATCCAATGTTAGCTTTTAGAGCTTTGTCAGGAGGGAAAGGCAGGGGTAAGAAAGAGGGGAGAGCCAGGCCTGGGGGAGAGGGAGCAGAGCAGAGAGCAGGGAGCAGAGAGAGAACAGAGAGAGAACACAGAGAGAGGATGGGGGTCTGCATCCAGCTTTTTAAGGCAGGGATTGCGTGACCACGCGATAGTACATAGTCGCCAGCGTCCACTGATGATGTAAGATGCAAGACAAAAGACCCAAGACCCTGAGCTGCACATGTACAGGATCCTAACACCTACCAATGGTAGAACACTTGCAGGACTCCAGGGACAATGGATGTTCACTGGCCAAACCAGGGAAGGGATCCTCTGCCTGTCCTCTCCACTGGCTCTAAGTATTTGGCAAAGGACACTCAGAAGAGACAAGTAATGTGCTGGGGTTTCTCAGCAATGAGTGGGGAGGAGTGTGGGGGATGTGGAGGTTGTGAGTTTGAACTGGGTTTGCTTGTCTTAGAACACTCCTGTTCCCAACCACAGGCCACTGTGACTGTGAGGGGTCTCTACTCACATCTCAGGCTGAGTGCTGGGTGAGTCTTTTACTCTTTTTTTTTTTTTTTTTTTTTTTTTTTTTTGGTTTTTCGAGACAGGGTTTCTCTGTGTAGCTTTGCGCCTTTCCTGGAACTCACTTGGTAGCCCAGGCTGGCCTCGAACTCACAGAGATCCGCCTGGCTCTGCCTCCCGAGTGCTGGGATTAAAGGCGTGCGCCACCACCGCCCGGCTGAGTCTTTTACTCTTTATAACAACTCTAAGGCATAGGGATTGCCAGCTCTGATATATGGGGAAAGAAACTGGGGTGCAGGGAGCTTTAGTTATATGCAAGTTTGTATTTCCCATGAGAGTTCAGCTGGAGCAGTTGTTCACCTGGATCCAAGGATCTAAGGCTACATTCTCTCTCATGAGTATCTACATGCCCTTCTCAGAACACTACAATTCCAAAGAGGAACCTGAGAATCTTTTATGAATTAAAAAAAAAAAAAAAAGGAGAGAGAGGCCAACATCTAACATGGAAGGCAGGAAGAATTTGTCCCAGAACAGCTGAACTCAATACTAGATGTACAGAATCCCCCATCTTTTCATCAACTGTTTTTGCAAAGTGTGTATGTTGAAGAGTGAACCAGGGCCTTATGCATGCTAGGCAAGGGCTTTGGCACTGAACTACATCCCTTTTTTAGACAAGGTCTCACTATGTGTCCTGAGCTAGCCTTGAACATGTATGATCCTCCAGCCTCAGCCAATTGAAGGCTACAGTTGCAGCCATGCACCATAATCCCGGTAGATTTTTTTTTTTTTAATTCATAAAAGAGTCTCAGGTTCCTCTTTGGAATTGTGGTATGCTGAGAAGGGCATTCCCTCAGTTGAGACTTGATACAGAAATGATTAAAAAAAAAAGATGGATTATTGAATCTAATGCAAAAAACAACTGTTAATCTTAAAATACTGTACATTGGTAAGGATTTTGGTTTATTAATACAAATTTAAGATTTTGTTATACTATATGTATATTTCTACTCTTGTTTAAGGTATTATGTTTATGCAGCCCATTTAAAAATATAATATATCATTAAGAAATATGATATATTTTGGGTAACTGTTGCCTTGCTTGCTGACCTTGACCTTGATATCCTCCCTATGGTAATTCCCTCCTGGGTTCCACCCTCCTGGGTGCTTGGGGGAGGTTCCTTGTCTGTGTATCCTGTATGATGGGCGTTAGCAGCTTGGATGCAAGATTGTAGAACATCGGTAGCGAACTTCTGCCCTCCGGGGTTCTCCCATTGTGCTGTAAGCCTGTATTTAAGACTTCCTCCCTCCTTCAATAGGCGGCATTCGGCATTAAAATAAATAAATAAATGAATAAATAAATAAATAAATAAAAGGAAAGAAAGAAATATAGATTAATAGTCATCTATGATAATCAAACTTATAGTCATATTAGTCAAGTTTTCTAGATATACAAAGATATATTTCAATTAGATAGATAATCTTCAACACTTCAAAGACCTACAGAATATGGCCTTTAAAATGTTTTAGTAATTTAGACTTTTCTGGACAGTGAGACACGTCTGCTCCTGGCAGAACCAATTACTTCCAAGAGGATGATAGTCATCGAAGAAACTCTTTATGGAGTTTGCTTACAATATAGAAAAGGCTAGCTCTTGGCCGGGCGATGGTGGCGCACGCCTTTAATCCCAGCACTCGGGAGGCAGAGCCAGGCGGATCTCTGTGAGTTCGAGGCCAGCCTGGGCTACCAAGTGAGTCCCAGGAAAGGCGCAAAGCTACACAGAGAAACCCTGTCTCGAAAAACCAAAAAAAAAAAGAAAAAAAAAGAAAAAAAAAAAGAAAAGAAAAGAAAAGGCTAGCTCTTTGGGCAAGAAACTGCTCTTGCCTGGACTGCTTGATAGTATGCTGTATAAACTGGACATGCAGGACCCATGGGAAATTGACCACTGAACTTTGGAAAAACAAGGCAGCATGATCCTTCAGGTTCTTGCTTCACAGAAGAAACTGCCAGGCATTCTTCAGGACACAGAGGAAAATGACGGATGAACTTTGCCAATAGGCAAGACAGTCCTCCAAATTTCCTGCTTCACTGAAAAGTCTACCAGAGACTTTAGGCCTGTAGGCTGAAGATGGATGTCTCAATATTGCAGAGGAACTTTGGGTGACTGTCCGGGCAGCCAGACATCTGTGTCATTTCTAGAATTTTGGAAGTTGCTTACAATGAACTTCCTGTTTACTCAGATAATATTATATCCTTCTGGGGTCTTTGATGGAGTTGAAGACTAAATAGTTATAATAATTATAGTTTTCTTTAGATATAATAAAAGATAAATTAGATGTGAAACTTTAGACTCACAAATATAGGATAGATGATAGAGTATTTTCTTTAATTTTGACAAATACAAAAAGACTAGATATAACTATAATTCCTGCTTGATAACTGTTTTGTTATATATAATTTTATTATGTTAAAATTAAAACTTTCCTTTTTGATCAGACAGAAAGGGGAAGTGCTATGGAATGGTCTTTCTGTATGCTGTGACTATGTGTTACTACCATTGGTTAACAAATAAGCTGCTTTAGCCTATGGCAAGGTATCTTGGAGGTAGGCAGGAAATCCAAGCAGAGATACAGGGAGAAGAAGGAAGGGTTGGGAGAGATGCTGAGAGCCGCCAGGGGAAGCAAGATGTAATGCAACACAGGTAAAACCACCAAACACATGGCGTTACATAGATTGATAGAAATGGATTAATTTAAGATGTAAGAGCTAGCTAGTAAGAAGCCTGAGCCATAGACCAAACAGTTTGTGATTAATATATAAGCCTCTGAGTAATTATTTTATAAGCAGCTGCCCGACGGCAGGTGTCCAGACTGTGGGCTGGGTGGGTCGGAGAAATTTCCCCTTACAGAGGCTGGTTTTCTTACAAACAACAGCACAGGCTTTGGCTATATTGAGTAAAAAAAGATTTGCTAGAAACACAGTGCTTCACTATTCTTATTCATTGAACAATTGTTTATTGAGCACATAATATATGTCAGGCATCATTTCAGGTGCTAGAATATGTCTAAGAACAAAACAAAGATTCTTATACTTAGAGAATTCAGTTTCTTTTCGGGAAAGGGGAGGAAAGGCTTGGTGGGAAGAAAGACAGTAAACAATGAAGAAACACCAAGTGAAGTGTGTGGTGTTTGAATGAGAAATATCCCCCACAGGTTCATGTATTTGAAAACTTGGCCTAGAAGGTCTGAGGAGAGGGGTGGCAGGCTCTAATTTTCAATAGGAAGATGAACTCTGGCTGCTGAGAGAGCAGGACCACAGGAAGCGAATGACTGGAGAAGCTCACAGGCCACTGATGAGACTTAATAATACATGTTGCAAGAGATGTCAACTATAGGATGGTGCTGTGGGGGGACCTGGACACAGACTGAGGTCAGAGCCTTCCAAGTGTCCTCAGTGCTTGCAGGAGCACGTTACAGAGAAGGCAGGAGACGACAGGAACCTAAGCTTTTCATGGGAGCAGCTGGAGAATGGAGTCACCATCTGCTAGGGCAGGGAAGCCTGTGATTACAAGTCCGAGACGACATAGGAGTGTGTGCCCAGCTGTCAGAAAGGCAGGTGGACATAACTGAAGTCGAGGAAAAAGGCTGGGAAGGAGATAAAAATATTTCACCAAATCCAAGGTAATTCATGCCCCTCCCCCTTCCAAATAATCCTATATTGGTTAATTTTCTGTTGCTGTGATAAAATGCCGTGACCGCAAGGAAGGACTGATTTTGGCTTACAGTTCCCGAGGGTTAGATGTGTATAATGGCTGGAAGGTACGGCTGAGAGATCACATCATAATTGTACATAAGAAGCCGAGACCTGCAAGTGGGGCAAGGCCTCAAACTCTCAAACACACCCCCATGACATACTCCAACTAGGCTCCGTGAACAAAAGGTTCCATAACCTCCCCAATAGCATCACCAGGTGGGGACTAAGTGTTCGAATATATGAGCCTATGGGGGACATTGCTCATTCAAACCACAGCAAAGCCACTGGGAAAGGATAGGAACCACGGCAACTTTTCAGGGATTTTCCTCAAAGCAAAATCAGAACAGGGCACTGTGTCTCCAGGGGTATCCAGGGCAGCATTTGCTGTGGGCATTGGCGGGGATCCAGAGCGGGGTTGGCTGTGGATATAGCTGATGTTTTGTTCCTGGCTTCCCTGCAGTTGTCAAATCAGGGTAAGTGATGTTCTTGACAGCCTGCTCTCCATCTGCTCAGGAAAAAAATGTCCGTGTCTGCACAAGAGCGATGGGACGTGCAGGCTCTCTCATTAAACACTGTTTATCTCCTAAGAGCAGTCAGCAACAGCTTAATCAAAGTCAGGGCAGATGAGATTTGCAACACCCCAGTCACTTTTCATTCTGTTTTCTCCTCTTTAGAGAACAATAGCCCCTCCCCTTCCCTGCATCTGCAAAGAAAGTGACCTGTTAATTACAGGCCCACCTACATGAGGAAGGGACTGGAAGGGTCTAGTGCTCAGTGGTTCTAACCATTCTATCCCTTACCTCCAGTCTCCATTATTTTGGAAATGGAAAAGAATGGGGAAATCAGAAAACAAGTACAATGAAATCTATAGTAATCCTATTCCTACTCACACGGGGAGGTAGACTAAACCACAGAATAATCAATCAGATCGCTCGCTGTCTTTTCATTTTAGGTCTTCCCACAGAAGTTCATCTCATGTGGAATGGCAGTTTCTGCTTCTCTTGGGTTTTCAAGAGATTGTAGATTTTATGTATTCTACCTTACTCCCTACCTTCTCTCTCCATGTGTGTGAGTGTGTGTGTGTGTGTGTGTGTGTGTGTGTGTGTGTGTGTGTGTGTGCGCGTGTTTTCTTTCTTTTTCTATCCATCACCTGAGAGGACCAAGCAGATGCCATAACAGGCTGCTCAGTCTTCTTGTAGAGATCAGGCCTCAATTTCAGTTTCCTGAGACTAAACAAGCAGTGTCTGAGAGAGCCACAAACAAAGGGCAATCAAACTCCAACACCTCCGACAGCAAGGACAAGGAGGCCTGGTACATGCAGTATCAGGTCAGGCCAGGTCTTAGCCACAGTCAGCAAGTTCAAGGCAATAACCAAATAAAGACAAAGCCTGGGACTTGTCCAGACCTGCCCAGAAATGGAAAACTGTAGCCCTAATCAGCCCCTGGCTAGCCCTAGCCAATTGGAATGTACTAATATGATTGCCACTTGCTTAAGCCAATCATATCCAAAGTGATTGAGCTGCCCTAGGACCTCCCCTTGGCTGTGCTTAAAAGCCTGTGAGCTCTTCTTGAGGTCGTTGCCTTTTTGCCTTTGTGTGGGATGACGGACCCCACCATGCTGGAATCTTTCTCGAGATAATAAATCATTATCTTGATAATGATATAAATATTCTTACTGATTGCATACATGGATGATGGTCTTTTGTGGAACTTCTCCAGGACCCTAACATCACCCCAATGATAGGGATTGAACCCACATCATTTTGTATGATAGGTGAGCATTCTATTGCTGAGCTAGCCTCCTAACCATAGATGGTTGTGATCCTGTGTCTTCCATTTCTATCCATAAATATCTCAGAAAAATAAGCTGTATCTTGGTATTGCGTCTTCTCCCTAGTTCATATGTTGAAGTCTCAACTTTTATAATTCAGAATGGGACTATATTTAGAAATAGGATTCTTAAAGAGATAATTAAGTTAAAATGGGGTCATTACAATGGCTGCTACCTAACAGAACTGAGGTCTCTGCAAGAAAAGGAACTTTGGACACAGACATAGCTGATGGAGGAACTGGGAGATGGCCTTTGTGAAGGTGAGAATCTTGATTGTCAGTTTAAAAATGTCTAGGAGGTTAGTGAAGCACACCCTCTGGGTGTGTCTACCAGATTGTTTTCAGAGATGGTTACACCATGAGAGCTCTCCATGGCTTAATCCCACATTTGAATAGACTGTAGAGGGGTGAGGAAGGCGGGGCCTGGTTGGAGGAATTAGGTCCCTGCAGATGTGTTGATGTGGCTGTACCTTACCCTGGTCCCTTCCTGCAGTCTCTCTCGTGTCTCTCTCTCTCTCTCTCTCTCTCTCTCTCTCTCTCTCTCTCTCTCTCTCTCTCTCTCTCTCCCCCTGCTTCTTGTCCACCATAACATGAACCACTCTGCTCTGCCATTCCCCTCTCCCATAATGGGCTGGAACCTGTAAAGGAACGCTCTTCTGCCCTTCACGTTGCTTCTGTCAGGCAACTGGATACCACAACACAAAGAGCAACTAACATAACCGTCGA